TAATTCCCGAATTATAACATTTTTTTCAGAAAAAATATATACTAGTAAAAATAATTTTGAGATTAGTGAAATATTTAAAATATTTCTTGAAATAGCAAAGAAATGCGAGGACACACAAAGGCAAGAACAACAGAAAATTATTAAAATTAAATGACTGGTGTATTTTAGAAAATCTTTTAGTTTTATTATAATTATTTATTTACACGGGCACTTGTTTCAAAAATTTTAAATACAAACATAATACTCGTATTTTTTGGAACAAAGATTTATCAACAACAAATTTAAACAATAAAGAAGGTATAAAATGTGCATACTGCGTAATGTTTTTTTAATATACATTGATATTCTAAAATATAGCGAAAGTTTACATACAATGCAGCAGTTTCAAAAGCTTTTCGTTGTTATAAAACTGTACTTTTTAAATTTTATAATGAAATTAAAAAAATTTAAGGATTTGACTATTATAATATAATTGTCAGCAATAAATCCCAGGATAACTGAAATAATGGAGTAGAATTTAGATATTGCAAGAAATGCTTTTTTAAAAACTTTCTATCGCATGCCGGATTCTTTCATAATAAGGGCCAGTATTATTAGACTGTATTAAAATTTTTTATACTGCGTTTTGGAAGTCACGGTATTTAAAAGTGATTATTGTCAATTATATTTCGGGTATATTAACAAATATACTCGAAATTTAAGGTTTAAATTAATAAAAACAAAAAATGATATTAAAAATTTAACCATGTTTCCTATTCAATTCTAATAAAATGAGAATATTTCTGACTTGTATCTTAATATAATATAAAAATGAAAATTAACTTTAACGGCTTATTTCTTCATGCCTCTGTAGCTCAGTTGGTAGAGCGTCCGCCTAGAAAGCGGTAGGTCACTGGTTCGAGTCCAGTTCGAGGAGAAAAATTTTTTTAATGAATTTTTCTGCCTTTAACTCGTTCCTTTGATTACGTCATCCATCTGTTCTGCAGTTGCATGAAGAAATTTCCATTAAGATAAATTAGTAGTGTAATAAGCACATTCTTATTAATTCCGCAACTATGATGTTGTATTAGTAAAATTCATAATAAAATTAACTTTGATTATTTTAAAAATGTATAGTTTTTGAGATGATATACAAATGTATAAACTATATACTCGTATGTGTTACATCTATATGAACAACAATAACAGTTGCAGGTTATTCAATTATATAACACAAGTCATTCGTTAATATTCTATCAAACTATAATATAGAATATGTTTGTTATGTACTAGTATTCGTTGCATGTGTTATCTTTTTCTGTTGTCTTCTTCTTTAGATTTTCCATAATAAAAACATAGTAAAATGATTTCCTGTCAATAAATTTTATATTATCCTTTATATCGCTTGCAATTTAATAAACTATCCCTTTATGTATCTTTGATATTCTTATATAATTCTAAAAATAAAATAAAAAAAAACAGAGCTTTGTTTATTTGATTTCAAGCAATATAGTTCATACAAACAGAGGCAAATAGAAAATATTATTATAAAATAAAAAGAAAATTATAAAACACAATCATTATATTTGCTTTAAGGATACATAGCTAATAACACAACAAAGACAGATTTGAAATTGTTTCTCTGGTTACTCAATGATAATACACAATATAATAAAGAATAATATGAGAAATAAATATCCTTTTCTATATTTTTTTAGTTGAAATCAAAATATAAAAATGTTTTCTTTTTTTTTTTTTAAACCGATTATTACAAAGTGTAAATAACAGAAAAAAATAAGAAATAACCCATTCTCCTCCCCATATAATGACAAAAAATTATATGCAGAAATTATGATACTAGATCGATTTAGTTACTATATATTTTGGGCGGTATTTTGAAAAACAAGGAAAAATATTTAGTAATCTAAAATATTGACCAATTATTCATCATTAGAATAAAAAAAAAATAATAAAAGGACCTTGTATATCATAAATGTAATTTGTATTCTAAAATAAGGTTATAAATCTTTTTGTCGTATATAACACACACAATACATTCACAAATATAATAAATTTTTTAAGATATTGTAATAAATTTTCTTTCTATGATGTAATTTTGAAATTTATTTTAAAAGAAGAAAAGAATTCTTATGAAAAACAGAAAGAAAAATGTTTTAATTTAAAACCAATTTTCTACTATAAAATATTTTCATCCTGTTTAGGGTAAATTTGTTTCCTTGTTTTGCAATAATATTAATGTTCCAGTTAATTTCAGCTCTCCATTTGCCTAACTATGAAATATATTTTGTATGAGAACATTTATTAATATGGCAGAATGCGATCCGTCTAAAAACTTGCTTTTTCAATATAAAATTGAAATTTTAATAACTGCACAATTTAAAATCTAGTTAATTTTTCTAAAATTATCTTTAAGCTTTATAACTTTTTGTCTATTAAGCTACAAATATGAGCAGTTGAGATAAATCTGCAAAAAGTTATTAAAAGGCCATATGACATTTCTTAAATGCGGAAATCATTTACTAAATTTAAATAAGAATGCAAATATTTTTATTGTTTAATAGAAATTGAATTGCAATCAAACTTTCTAGTTTTTATTGATTATATTTTAAATACGATAGCTCTTGTAAGTTTCAATGATAGTGATGATCTTGACCTACTAACATAGTGCGATAGTTTTGCAATGAGTACCAAACGTTATCAAATTCAATAAAAAAAAACTTCAATAAAATAATTGTAATTTGGGTAATGTTGATATTCATATGTAGGTACTTATATCCTTACGAATCATAAAATAAAAAATTTTAATATAAAAACATTTCAAATCTATTGTCTCCACTTGTCAGAAAAAGGAAAATCCTTTTTAAGGATATTTTACTGAAAATATGAATTTCCCAGAAATTTCGTTGAGAGGAAATTTAATTTGCTTTTTACATATTTTGGAGACTTGTGGATTTTAAAATAAAATTAATGCGCATGTTTTTTTTAAAGAGTAAAAGTCCTTTCATAATTTCTTAGAGTTAGAATTCGCCGTATAGGATTTTACGTATCTCTTGAGAAAGGAATAAATACCTTTACATATTTCAAATTTAATTTTCTAGGTTATTTTAAAGTCAAATAAAATAAAATACAAATGTATTTTGAAAATGAAATCAGTTGAAAAATTTATTGTCCCCATTGAGGTAGGACTGTTTTTGCGTTAAAAGGATAATAAAAATATTGTTCGAAACTACAATTATGAATGTTCTGTGTAAGTAAATTTAAAATAAAAATTGGCAATTAAAAAATATTTTCAGGAATAAATTGCACAAACGCAATTGTGGTTAAATATTCCCAAATTCAAAATAAAATCGCAATTTTAAAATTCCTACAATGGAAACTATATACATATATATTACAGATTTAAAATGGTATGTTCATCTATGGGTATATTATGAGAAAGGACACAAAAGATAACTTTCGTTTAGGCTATCCTTTAAAAATTTTTTAGATGTTTGACTTATAATTCAAAAATTAAATTATAATAAAATAAGGAGATTTCGTTATTTAATCAGCAGTAAATATGGTAGTGATAAACACAGTAAAGTTAAATTATACCGATAAAACTAAATTTTCGGTTCCAGTTTAAACATATTAAATGTTTCCGTATATTGGACAAGGTTTACTAAATGCTACAGAATATTACTGAATAAGAAACCATTTGCGGGATATTTTTGTTTTTATTTTTGATCCAAAATATTAAATTTTTGAATGATAATGCATAATTTACATAATATATGTTTATTTATAATTGATGATTAAAGAAGAATTAAACTATTGCTGTTTACCGCCTCATATTAAAATTCTATTCATTTTTAGTGATATTTCAGTTTTAATAAACCACAATATACAATACAATTTAACATCAAAGAAGTTTTTATTTCCGCTCGAGTTATTCGAATTCAATTTTCTGTGAATAATAAAACATTAATCTCTTTGTTTTTTATATACATACATACTCTTTTGTTTTCACTTGTAAAATTAACTTGAAAAAAATTATCACTTTTTAAGCTTACTATCAAAAGCGAATTTTTAAAAACCAATCTGTAAAACAGTATAATCATGGGTTGTTCAAAACTTGAAGCAAGAATTTGACCCTTTTTAATGCCTAGGCTCATTCGTATATTTACCAGTTGAAACCCATAAACAATAAAAATTTACAAATTTCAATTCATCTATATTGAAAACCTTAATTCTATTGAGAAACTGTCCGTAATATGAAGCGATGCTTCTAAGAAAACATGGACGATTATAGAAAAAAAATTATGTTCTTTTTATAAACATCAATATTAATTAAGATTATTGAGCGATAAAGAAATTTTCCTATTATTATTTTTATGTACTTACATAATTTTTTTAATTTTTTCAAATTCTTTTGGTATAACAAGTTTCTGTAAATTTTTTTTGCAAACAAAACTTTTATTTGAATACTTATTCATTGAAAAAATAGCTATTATTGATGCAGTTTTTAATACATACATATAATTCGGTAAACACATAAAAAGCAATAAAAGCTAATTCTATGTTTATAGATTTTTAATGAGCTTGCTTGCAATTCAACTTAACATTTATGATTAACTCGAAATGGGCTTAAATATTTGTATAGGAACTTTTTTATGCTGGTGCATTGGCCTGTTGACTCACTCACATATAATTAAGATTTTTACCATTTTATATTTTTTTACTCATTAAGCATTACATTTTAATATATACCACATGCTTTAATGAAAATTGTACATGAACGTTCTAACAGATTTTAAAGCTCTTTTACAAATAGATGTTTAATTACAATAAATTATGTATAAAATAACCATTAAGTAACCACTAACTAAATAAGATATGGCTCTAAAGAAAATATAATTTAAGACTGGGATACAATTTCACATAATTTTGGAACTTTGTATAAGTTTTATTGAGATTTTAAATTATTTTCCAAATTTCCGTTCAAAACAAACGTTTTTTAAAATCTAAAAACAATTTATTGAAAAAAATTATATAATTATACATAAATTTTATAAAACTTTTTTAATTTAATAATTAGATCAAGTAATAAATGAAAACAGTAAATGAAACTTTTAAATATGTATAATGATAAGCAATGATTTTCAAATTTTAATAAAATATGTAAATTTTGTTCTATTTAAATAAATCAGACTTGAACGTCTCATTCAAAATGAAAAGCCACCTTTAGGATTATTTGCTGTTTGTGCGGAAAATTCAAAATTTCCTTCGGCTTCCTTGGGTTTTAATGCTTGTTCTACTTCATCACTTACATCCCCGAAGTATGTATCAATTAGAGCATAAGCTTTCTTATAAATTTCCTCATTTTCATGATTTTGTAATTTTTCCAATTTGTCAAGACCTTGATTTTCTTCAATTAATAAGCACAGATTTTCGGTTCCGCCTAATTTTTCAGCTAACATAAATAAGTTTGTTAAACCTGTCAAAACTACTTTTATTGTTTTAGGATCTTTTGACTCTAATAAATTACAAAATGGCAACAAAATATTATATTTCTCAATGAGATCAATTATTTGTTCAGCAGTTCCAGAAGTTGTGGTGTTTGTAACTGCCCAAGCTGCTTCTTTTTGAGCCCTGAAGTCACCTTTTTCAAGTACATTTCGAATGTGGACGAAAATACCTGTAAGACATTATTTTTTGTAATTGGTTTATGTTTCTAATTTTAAGAATACACACATACCAGCATCAATTACAGCTTGAATTTGCTTCTGATTCCCAGCTGTTATGTTACTTATTGTCCATGCTGCTTCTTTGACAATATTTTGTTTATTAGATTGCAAGAGTCTTCCCAATTTTTCAAGGCCGCCAGCGGCAATTACAGTATCTGTCTATATTTATAAAGAAATAAATTAATACTTATTGATAAAATATTAAATTATATAAATAGAAACCTGTTGATCAGAACCAGTTACAATATTGCCGACACTTCTTAAGGCAGGCACTATTACGTTCGGTTCATTTATATCCAATAACTCAACCAATTTTGGTACCGCATTAGTGTCAATAACAGCTTGTATTTTGTTATTCTCATCGTCGGTTACATACGATATAGCCCAACAGGTATCAGATAAAACTTGAAAATCACCATTATGCAATAAATGAGATAAAACTGGTAACAATAATTTAATTTGATCAAATGGCGGAGATGGATTTTTATTTCTGCATAGATTTGACATTAACCAAACTATATTTCTTAAAAATGATAATGGAGTTTCAGTGTTAATTAATGCTAATAAGCCCTCTACGGCATTGTGGTTTAGTACAATATCTCTTGCTGTAGCACCGTCACCAGCTATATTCCCAAGAGCCCATACAGCTTGTTCCGAAACATTCAGTACTGGAGACTGAAGTAGCGAAATAAACCTTGGGACTGCGTCAGCCTCAATTACAGTACGTGTTTGTTCCGAAGTTCCAGACGCAATATTTGTAAGTGCCCATGCTGCTTCAAATTGCAAAAGCGGGCTATAGATTTTGCAAGCAATTAATTTATTGTATTAATATATATTTAATATGACTCTTTTAATGTTAATCTTAATATATATTTGAAAAATAAAATACTAAGGCAATAGTATGCATAGCAATTGCTACTAGGTATAAACCACAACTTACTTGTCAAAACATTTCAAGAATTTAACACATATGGGAACTATTCCATGCCCAATGAGTAAATCAATAGGCGGATTTCTCTCCCTACTTAACATTTTCCTTGCAGCTTGTGTTCCATTATATTGACGTTCTGTTTCATTGCTATTCATAGCCGATACAATTTCCTCAATGCTCATTTGAACAGGAGATTGTCCATTATGATCTTTAAGGGGAGAAGTAACTTCCTCCTCATTTATATTCCTTCTTTTGAATAATTGATCATCTTTTTTGTTTTTACGAAGCTCAACTGTAAATTCATGGCGGCGATTTCTCAATTCCTTTACATTAAAAAACGGAAAATATAATCAAATTTTCTTTGTCTACGAGATGGGCGCGAAATTTCACTTACCTCCCTTCCTTTAGATGAATTTTTATATAATTGAATTCTTGAATTTGTACTATTTTCAGACATTTTGATTTTTAAATTAACTCAAGTTTTAGTGTAATATGTACGTAGGGTATATTTATATAAAAAATTTAAAAACGGCAAAAATATTGAAGAGTTCGGTGGTAAAATCACAAAATTGAAAGAACTATACAAAATAAAAGATGCCTTATTGCTCTCTCCAACAGTCTTCAATAAAATGATCAGTTAGAATTTCTAAATTCAAATTAAATTTCTTAAATATTCTCCAAGATGAAACAAAAAATCTACAAATCTGACATTCGATCAGTGTGACCGTCCTGACTGTCAAGAATATTGAAAAGATCTTCTTAGAAAGTTTAACCTGTGTTTATACCATTTAATCAAAATGTACGTATGTTTTTTAACAATTTTAAAAAACATTTTGACTTTTTGGATATTTTTCGAATTTTTATTATAATAATTTTCAAATGATTGCTCAGAATATCCAAATTTTTTTTTAAATATTGTAAGCAGTGATTTTTTATTGTATTGTGTGAGTTTAAAATAGCTTTTGATTCAGCATGACTTAAATTTTTGTTACAATTTACAAATCAATTTATTATATAAATGAAATTTACAATAAATGCGGTAAAACATAAATGCAATTTATGAATGCAAGGATGATATTTTTGATTTTTATGTGCGCATATACACGAAAACTGAATTTCTTTCAATTTCTATATTTTCTGCACGGCTATTTTTCTCCGTCTGAAGAAGTTGAATCAATTTTTAACTTTAGCACAGACGTTTTTGAAAATTTCATTTTATACTTCAAAAAATGACGTAAGATAATTTCTTTCAATTTTTTTTAAAATGGAGTAGACTAATATCAAAAAACTAAGTTCATCACTTTCAGACGAAACGATGAGAAATGAGATCATTAAAAGTAAAAATCTACCATTGAATTCACCTTTACTATTTCCAATTGAAGTTTATTATTATTATTATTAGTAGAATAATATGAAGTTAGTTTGTGTTGACACTACAGTATGTCGTTTCATACACTTATAATAATTTTATATCATTTCTTATATTATAAGATTATGTATTAAACAAGAGATGTAAGAACGAGAGATGCTGTATGACAAATTAACCTTACTCAATGAATCTTAAACACACAAAGTTTATTAATTGTCGCAGTATTAATATCCCCATATATTTTATATCTGTGTGCATAATTGCGTCAATATAATTTTTTTTTGTTTTTTGTTAGGTTTAGGTTTTGTTGTGCTCCTTTAATGTTTTTTGAACAATAATTAGAGTTTATAAGAATAATTATCCATGTAACATTTTTTATTATAAACTTTTTGTAGTACTTTCATTTCGTTGTGCGTTGTTTTCCATATTAAGAAATTTTTTTTTTTAAATAGGATATTGACGTAATTTAATGTAAAGGTTAAAAATGTATGTATGTTATTTTTGGAAAAATTTTGCTTTTTGCATAGATAAATATCAATGCAAAAGTAAAATATATTATATAAAATACTTTGGTATTATTATTCGATTTTTACAAAATTTTAAATTCAATCTTTAGAATCTGTGCGGATAACTGAATGTTTTGAGTAGCCAATTAAAAAATTTTTTAAATATATTTTTATTGTAAAGTTGGCACAAGTCAAGGTCTATAAATTATTAAGCACAACATTTATCACCTACAAAATTAGATCGAATCTGATGTGATTTTCAATTTACTTAGTTTTTAGTTAGATGGTTTTGGACCTGTGATGTTCACAAAAATTAAAGCATGTAAATAAAACTTAATAAAGTAAAATATATAACAGCTGTCAAAATTTTAGTTATAATAAAGTGTGAAATCTTAACTTTTAAGATGTGACAATTTCATATTATAGTGCTTTAATGAAAGTAATTAAATATTTACATTGAGATGGCGCTTACTTTAGTTACAAAAAATTTTTTTATACATTTTTGCATACATTTAGGATTGATTATTTTTTTATAGTAGAATGTGATATTTTTGTGTATAAAGATTCTTTTAGATATTCACCAAACGTATTGTGTGGAATATTGATTTTTGGAAAAAATTAAAGGTTACTTCCAAAAATAGAGGTCAAAGTTTTTATGGCTTAACTACTTACGTACGTATTATATGCGTATCTATATGCATAGGTATGTTATATATTAACATTAATACATAATATTAAGAATAGAAACTGTTATATTTAATGTATCAAATGTGTTACATTTAATTTGGTTTAACTCTAAATCATTGGCATTTTAATTCAAGAAAATAAAAATGGAAATTTTATTGTTAAAATCAAAACAAACATTTGCAATCACTTCTTAATTTATGTAAATTAAATATAAAAATTAAATTGTCAATATCTTTGTTTGTCTTAAAGTTAAAATCAATTAAACCCTCACAAAATGGCTTATTCAAATTGAGTAGAGGTTAACTTTTTAAAATAAAATTAAAATTGTTGTATCGTCTTTTAGAGTTAGTTTTGTAACTAAAACCTTCAGTAATTCCTTCTAATAGGAGTTAAGAATATTTGAAATTTTTGAGAAAGTATTTTTGAGAAGGTGCTTTCAAAGGCTAACTTCCCGTTTTTTTGCTTGGTAGAACAAATTAATATCTATAGAGTATATACTTTTCGAAATTTTCTCAAGCTAAAGACGTTAGTATAATACTATTATTATACATACAAAGCTTATATTGCTCAATTGCAATATGGTCAATGAAAAGGTAGGTATTTAATTCCTTTATGCTATTTTTCTAACTCGTTCAATTTTATGTCTGTCGTTTCAGCAGCACACAAATAGAAAGAGGGTTCAAGACGAACGTGCATGAGTTAAATCGCCTAAAAATTTCAGTTTTGCAGCACTCATGTCTCTTCATCTATCTCTCAAATAAACATTTATTTGTACGTAGAAATTTAAAAAAAATTTAAATAAATTTATGGTGTGTAAATATTTTTATATACGAGTTTTGATACTTTTTCAACTTTTAAATGTCCCAACTGTGCTTTATTGAATTATATTATTATTATCTTAGAAATAAAATACTTGTTTTGTTAGTGATAAGCATTACTCTGTTTTTGGGAATGATTTTGAACAGTTTGTTGCTCACATTCACGTAGCATAAACGCATTTTACAAGCATTTGAATTCGTTGAAAATAACTTTGTTTTTAAAATATTCTGTATTATTTTATTGTTTATTAAATTTAATGATCGAAATGGCTTATCGAATAAAATTTAATTTTAAAGGTTTAATGGCTCCTGTTTTCACGTTTTTCAATGATGATGTGTAGGTATTATGAATATTATTCCAAAAAAATAAAGAAAAAAAAAAATAAGCATCATTGTTTACTTAAATTTGTGTGATATAATTTGTTTTTTTAAAATTAGTGATAGGTCAGTAAATACTGATAGCATTGCAGATTATGCAGAATTTTTAAGTAAAAATGGAATTAAAGGTGTTCTAGGTAAAAATGTTTTATTTTTAATTTTCTCTTAGTAGCGCTTAAACATTATTTGCAATTTTAGTGAATGGAACAACAGGTGAAGGTCCAGTTATGTCAGTTAAGGAACGTAAACTTGTTACAGAAGCCTGGAAAAAATGTTGTCAGAAACTTGGTTTAACATTGATGGTACAAATTGGGGGTGCGCCACTACCTGATGTTATAGATTTGGCTAAACATGCTGAATCAATCAAAGTTGATGCCATTCTTTGTTTACCTGATTTATATTTTAAACCAAAAACAGTTGATCATTTAGTTTTATATTTGCAAAACATTGCAAGATATTGTTCAAATATCCCTATACTCTATTATCATATACCGATGTTTACTGGTTTAAATTGTAATTTTTTATTTTTTTATTTTATATATATATGATTAAAATTATTTTATCTTTTCTTATCTCTCGGTTTGCATACTTACTTTTTTATTATTATTTTTAGTGCATATGCCAACATTTTGTGAATCCGCTGAAAAAAATATAGTAAATTTTGTTGGACTTAAATATACTTCTGGTGATTTAGATCAAGGTAGTGATTGCTTAAAGGAAGGGCGTTCAGTATTTTTAGGAGCTGATACCATATTATCTGGTGCTTTAACATTAGGTTTTGATTCTGCCATTATGACAACATTAAATATTAGACCCGAGTTGGCTGTACAAATTATGAATGCAATGTCAAAAGGTCAAATAAAAGAAGCACAAAGATTACAAAAAGAATTAACTGATTTTGTTAAACATACTTTACAAATTGGTGGTGGTGAATGGGTACCATCTATGAAGAAAATTTTCAATATAGAAAGAAAAATAAATGCAGGGCCAGTAAGAATTATTGATTAAAATAATTTGTAACCACAAAATTAAAAAAAAATTATCGGAAGTCCAAATATTTTTTGTGTCTAAAAATTTCCCATAATATGTAATTTTCTAAAATTTGTTTTTATAAGATTTTATACATAAATATGTGTATGTATATGTGTTTACTAAAATGTATTTTTCATTTTATATAATAAATTGTTTAATAATAAACTTCATTATAATGATTTTTTCGTTGTTTTATAGTTGCAAATAAATTTAATTATAGTATTTAATCTTATTTAAATAATTTTAAATATTTCGAGATTTAAATACATAAAATAGGTATATAAGGAAAATTAAGAGTGGCATAAGGGGCAATGTAATACTCAATTTATTTAACAAACGTTTAAATTTGTTAGCCTTAAATATAAAGAGCGAAAATTTGCTATAGCTTAACTCAATAACAGCAACTATTTAAAAAAATTTAAAATTTTTGAAAGTTTATTGTTTTTTTTTTAAATGTTAAACTTTTCTGTAAAGTTAAACCTCTTTGTTTGGCGTCCAATCGACAATATCAAAATTGAAACACAATATAAACCATATTTACAAACTCAATTCATTCTCATTTTTTTGTAATGTTTGTAATAAAGTTTGCAGTTAAAATTTCTATTCTATATGCATATGAAGGTACTTAAAACTTTTTACTTGCTCTTGAAACAATGTAGGAATTTGCTCCGTTAAAAGTAATTTGCCCTTAAATATGAATATATTTCGTTATGGTATAAAGTTGAAATATTATTATACTTTAATAATCTTTATGTTATTCAGAAGGAATCTGCCTCTTTGAGTATTAGATTAGAATTTAAATTTGTTTTTATTCTTCTTTTTCTATACATTACCTCATTTCGATAGCTATAATGCATGTTAATAAATATAACATGTTTGTGTATTTAAAACCGGTTTGAAACATTTTAATTTTTAATCATTTTTTATATAATTATATTGCAATATAATATATTATTAAACTTTATATGTTACTATTGATTATTGTAAAGCTCAACTGAATAAACTGTTAAAATAATTAAACAGCTTTGAGGTACTAGCCGTAATATAGTGTATGACTTGAAATTTAAAATTTAACACAATTTCTTCGAGATTATTTTTAACGCTGTGTTCCGAAGTTTCAGGTTCGTCGGGTATAAATACCTGTTATTGCTTGCAAAAGGTCTATTTTTAGCACTTTTCCAAAAATTTTTTGAAAAAAAGTGCTTATTAGTTTCACTCTGTCCGTCCGTCCGTCCGTCCGTCCGTCCGTCCGTCCGTCCGTCCGTCCGTCTGTCCGTCCGTCCGTCCGTCCGTCCGTCCGTCTGTCCGTGTGTCTGTTTACAAAACTTCTACACCCTTGAAGATAGAAAGCTGAAATTTTATATGTACATAGATCTTTACTAGAAACTTATTTCCGTAGAACAAAATTTTTACCTATCTCCTCCCCTCTAAAAGTTATACCCCCCCAAAACCCTAAAAATGGCCTTTTTTAACTATTTGTTGCAATGAAACCATAAGCATTTTTGAAATTTTGCAAACGCAGAAAAGCAGCGGCTTGCTTCCCCTAGCGCGGCATACTATATTTGAACTTTAGAAAAATAAAATGGCCGTTCAAATTTACCGTTATCTAAAGTCCTTTTTTTGCAAATTTTTGATGTCGTTTTTTTTCCAAACTACAGCCTGTAGAAGCTTGAAATTTTAGGAGCTTTTAGACATTATCAAATAGTTCATTTCGCTAGAAGAAAATTTTTTCCCATCTCCACCCCCTCTCAAGTTATCGCCTCTTGAAATTTGTAAAATTTGAATTTTTAACACCTTATATTTCCGAAACCGCAAGCTTTTTCAAATTTCTATTAACGCAAAAAGTTAACGGTAAATTCCATGAAATTAAAAAATATAATTATTTTTCTTAACTCACAAAATTAAACCTTAAAATCGAGCATTATGTTAACCCCACTTTATATTAATTTTTGCTTTATTTCAAAGACTGCATAAATCATTCATCCTAAATATATGCAACCCTAGAAATAGTTTTGTATATGAATGAAAATAATTTTAATAGTGTGATAGGTACATAGACTACATAGACTGTATTTAAAAGCAAAATTTTCATTTGTTGAAGGGAAAAGTGCTACAATACAAACCATTGGTTTGACCCAACTTTATTAATTCAAGCAATAAAAATAATATTTCAATTTGAAAAGGTGCTCAGTTTTTTGCACTTTTTGCTAACTTTTATGACAGAAAATAGATTTATTACGTTATAATATAAGCAAAAATGATGTGTAACGGTGTTTAAAGATTTAGTTGCTTTACTTTTTGCCTTTTAAAAAATGAAAAAAAACTACAAAAAAATTAAATTTCAAATATTTTTATATTTCTTTCTTTGAAAACAGAGAAATAGATTTTTTTTATATAATATATTTTTTTATGATTTTTACTAAATTAATATTTTTGTTCACTTTTTATAATAATAATAATTTATTTTTTTTTTATTTATTTTTAAAAAGATGTTTTTCTTATTTTTATTTTTTCATTGTTGTTTTATTATTTCTAATTTTTCTAATTTTATAACTTAAAAATACAATTTTTTTTTAATTCTTTCTGGTTGAATATTATAATAATATTTAAAGGGATGTATACAAATTTCTATTTTAATTAAATTAATTATACTTTATAATCTAACTATGAATATTTTGCATGTAATGAAATATACATATATAAATTAATTATTATCTTATAAATTAAGGTTTTATTAAATTCTATAAAAAAAAAATCAATATTTATTAATAATCAGTAATCACTATGGAATGTACAGATTTTTCTTGTTTATACTATTTTAATTACCATTATATTTAATAATATTTATATTTTGTTTAATCCTATATAAAATTTATTTAGAATTTATTCTAACAATAATAATTTAATAGTCTCATTTTTCATTTTACCTTTTTTTCATTTTCCTGCTTAAATTAAGTTTATCTTTATTTAAATAATTTTACAGTCAACTTTAAATATGCATATTATGTATGTATGTATTTAAATTTTAAATTATATTGCAAAAACTTTCATACAAATTTCAAGTTTTTTAAGGTTATTCGTTGCTGGTAGTGTTTTTATTTTCTATGTATGTTTTTTCTGCATTAAGGATTTACCAGTTTTTATGACGTACATGAAATGTTTTTAAAATTTTAAAAAAATTTTCGGCAAAGTTTTTAGGAGAAAAACAAAAGTTGATTTTAAGTACTTTTGGGGTGTCTATTTTAAAAACTTAACGAGCTAATTTGTAAAAATTTACATTTTATAATTATTTTTTTTTCGTATAAATTGGTTTGCAATAATAAATTTTTAGATTTTTGTAAAACCTTTTGAAACTCAAGTAAATTCATTCAGCATAGCAAGAATTGAAAATTAATTTTAAATTAGGTTTAATTTGTTTTCAATTAAAATAAAAAGACTGAAATTGAAAATAATAATGGAAAATGCCAAAAAAATTATTCTTTATGCTAAGAATAAGGAAATTTTTATATTGTTATGTATAACTATATAACGTGCCTATACAGCATATCCTTGAAATGTGGTCATCTGTTCTTAGGAATTCAACGATTGTAATGTAATTTTATATGTGGAGAGTTGCAAATTTTAATATTTAACAGGATTCGATGCTGTAATTTCCTATTACCAATTAATATTTATAATTTAAGCAACTGAAGAAAATTAATAGATTTCGATACAAAAGTAATCTTTTTCTATTAAATTTTTATACAATTTAATAGAAAAATAAGAGAAAAAATTGTCTTCAAATTTGGTGCTCTTTCATGGCTTACTATAAACAAGTTATAAAGGGAAAAATGCATACACTGTGTTATATACATACATTAATGTATATTGTTTATATTTATTACTTACGTCTGTATATAAATATACCAACTGCATTTACGTATATATATATATATATATATATATATATACACGTAAATAGGTCTTATATTTATGCAATCTTATACTCGTAATATACTTAATTATAAATAAAAAAATTTCTATTCTTGTTCTGATTCTTCAATAATAACATCATGATGAATAATATTACTACTACGGCAATGTTGATTTGTTGATGATGACGGTGGTATATTTTCAACTGGTGGTAAAGTAGATGGTGGTAAAGGTGGAGGTGGTATAACATCATCATTATTACCACTATTTATACCGCTATTTATAGGACAATTAACACCAGTTTGTATCATGACAATTATTTCACTACCACTAGCGCTACCAGCACTGCTACTACCACTACTCATACGACGGATTGTTGAATTATTTGTTGTAATAGATGGAACTTCTGTTGTACGATTTAATAAATAATCTAAATCGTGTGTTATTCTATCTAACATGCTACCATCATTATCATCATCGTTAATAATATCAATATTATCTGTTGTATTAATATTATTGCCACCATTATTACCACCACTACTATTACCAATAATTATATTATCACTATTACTATTAATATTATTAATGTTTGTACTAGATTTATTAATATTATTATTATTACAAGAGTTTTGTGATGAATGTTGATGTTGTATAATTGTTCCTGATGTTGATCCCGAAATTCCTTTTCCTAATCCTATTAGTTTATTGGAATATGTTGTTGCTCCACTTGTTGGATCTGCATTACTACTATTTATATTACTATTACTACAACTGTTATTACTGCTATCATCTATAGATGATGTTGAGGTAATTGTTATAATAGGTGGTAAAGAAATGATATTTGACGTTGTTTCAGATAGACCACCACTTGTAGGTAATGTTGATGATGTTGGACCTATTCCTGTTACTAAAATTAAATTTGTTGATGATTGATGTTGTTGCTGTTGTTGTTGAACTTTATAATGATGATGTTGTAATATTGATGATGGTATATTACTGTTATTATTATTTAATGACTGTTTTGGTTCTTCTACAATTGTTACACGTTTTTGTGATTTTGGTGTTTGTGTTTTAACTGAAGATGTTATTGTTGTTGATGCATTCATAATTCCACTGCCGTCAGTTGAATGCTTTTTTAATGATGATGTTATTTGATTATGTGTCGAATCTACATATGATGATGATGATGAGGCTTGATGATTATGAGAGTATTGTTGTTGTTGATGATTAATATTAGGCCCGTTTGTCGAAGATGACGTTGTGCTTAATATTTTACTTGCTCGAATACCAATTATACTATCTGAAATAATAAAAAGAATGATATTTTTTTTGATTATTAAGTTTATTGTAAGTTCAAATTGCAAAATGTGGTAAAAAACTTTTACATTTAATTCCATACTTAAAGTAACTACATAAAACTACAAAAATTTCATAAAACAACAATATTATTTGTGCAGCTAGTAAAATTATCAAAGCATTAATATAACATTCGAATTCGATGACTAATTAAGACACTTATAACGGAAAATGATGTTTCTTTTTCTGAGAAGCTATTTCCAAAAACCTTAAGTTTTTTGCTTTTATAAAAATTTGAAAATATATAAAGAAAGGGAGCGAGGTAAAAATAAGTTTGTTGACTTTTGAAGTTGACTGAAAGTCTTAAACGATGTGGAAAATAGCTTGAAAAAATTAGCTTTAAGAAAACAGTTAATTTCAACTATCATTTTTCATCGCAAGTTTTGTCTCTACAGATCAAGAAGAAGCAAGACGATATAATAAATTATCAAAAAAGCCAATTCTATGCTTTTGAGAGGAAGTGGAGAGAACAATTTTTTTAAAAGTAATAAGCTATTTGCATAGAAAACTTCAGCTTTCTATCTTAAACCCTATAGCAGTTTGGTTAACAAACGGCAAGAGTGAAATAACACCTAATCGTAAAATGTTGTACTTTTGAAATGTGAAAGAAATTGAAACTGTTGCATGTCTTTGGAAATGCTTTTAATTTTACTTTAAAACAATATTTTTTAAGAATATGTCTAAATATGTTGATTATTAGGTTCATTACTGTGTTATGTTTTGTAACAAGTTGATTATGATAATAGCTTTTGTACATATTATTATAATCTTAATGAAATTTGAAAAGAACAAGATTTTAAAAATATTAAAACTAATAAACATTTATGGTTAAAAAAAGAATGAAATTAATAAAATGAAATATCGCGATACATGGTAGAAAGCAAGTGCAAAACCAGCAAAATATCATTAAAACTGTTCTAAGTAACGTTCTATATATAGATATGTACATAAAACCACCTTAATATTCGTTATAATATGTTATATTGTTTTAAGAGTAAAAATCTTTAATTACAAATTCATTTAAACTGGGATATTATGACGGTTTATATACAGCGGCACATACGAATATATTACATGCATTTAAGTTATATATATATGTGCATAAGAACGTAATATTGTAATAAAGGTTTTTGTTTTTCCAATTTTATTATTATGAAAGTATTTTACTTTTTTTGGGTACCGTTATTACTGCAGGTTGCTATCATATATGATTATATAAATATACACATATGATATTTATATGTACATTCACTTATACATGTACAAATTTTCCTGATTTTGGGTAAAAGTGAGGTGTAAAACATAATATATACCTCGAAAATATGTGCATATTAATATAATATCATACATATTATATTAATATGCACATATACATATATGTAGATACTAGCATATATAAATTAGGAAAAATGTGCTCATTAGTTTCGCTTTGCTTGTTCGATCACCATTTCATGCTTTCAGTTTACAAAACTTCAACACCTTTTGCGATAGAAAGTTGGAATAGTATACACAAGTAGAAAGAGCCGTAACAGAAAATTTTCCTACCTCGCTTTCTTTAAAAGTTGCAGTCCTACAAAGTGCTTACAGTTACCATTTTTTTGACAATTTGTTATATCGGAAAACAGACATTTAAGTTCTGCAAATACAGATAAATAGTGATTTGCTTTTCTAACAATTATGGTTGCTAAAAACATATAGGCAAACCAACTGTTTAACAATGAAATAACCATCATTACAAATTCTTTTTTTTTTAATCCCGCCTTTCTCAATTCCCTTCCAAATTATCGTCTCTAAAAACTATAGCGAAATTTAAATTTTCATGATCTTATTTTTAATTAACATTCTTACATAATATTGTTAGAATATCTCAGCGGTCGAATTCGACTGCTATTTTAAAACGTCTTTTAATTTTTGCTTTAATTCAAAGGTACGAAATTATTTTAATAAATTTTGATATATAAATGATAAAAATTTACCAAAGAACTTTTTTTCGAAAAAGCGTTTCCACTTGTTCCAGGGGAATGTAGTATTTTACAAACCATGGGGCTTGAATACAATTTATTTTACATTTATGTATAAATTTAAGAATACATACTTTCTAGCTAAAGAAATTCGTATAAAATTACGTACGTAATATTAAATAGAATATAAAATGTTTACAAAAAGGGGAGATAATACTTATAGAAAATATAATGTTACATACGTAGATATACATATTTTTGTGTAGTTATACCTGAGTATTGAGGGAAATATTGTATGTTCTTAAGAGAATTTTAAATAAAATAAGAGTAATGGAATATGATTGATTATTCAGTGTGAGCAGCGCAAATAGAAGTTCTTTTATCATACTGGTAGTTATACGAGTATCATCGCACGAAAATTTTCACGGGACAATTCCATTTTTTGACCGAGATGAATTTTTCAAGTCACTGTAAACAAAACAATTCGCGCTCGAATGACAAAACGTTCTGAGTGAAGTTGTCTTAAAAAATGTCAAACTTTCCAATGGAAGTGTCAGATTGCACCTGGCAGCACTAGTATTGCCAGGACCCGAAATATAAATAGTGACCCTCGTACTTTTATAAGAATTAAAAAAGGAAAGGAATTAAGTATGCAAACCCTGTAATTTATTTCTTCAAAAAACCTCTGAATGATTAACTATTGCATAATGATATTTCAATATTCTGACAACCAAAATGAACAACTGTAGCGGTTGAAGTGGAAAATAAGAAATTAAATCAAATTAGAGTATAACAAATTTTGTATATCTACTTATACTTGACAATCACGTTATGTTAATATGTAATTATGGCTTTTTATCAAACTGAATCGGAGATAATATGCTACATGAGTTTCATAATGACAACTCTGTAATTTTCAGTAAATTTTAATAATGAATTTGTAAAATGTTTTTGTGGTTGAAAATTAAATCATGTAAATTTTCCATGTATAGAATTAATTTTAATTTTATCGTTTCTGTAAATTTAAATGAAAAAGTTCAAAATTTATTTATAGTAAAGTAAATGAATAAATGTTTTAATTATGCTTATTATATTCTCGTTAACTATTATAACATTCTTTTAAAATATATTTAATGAAAACAATATATGTAATTAACAAAGTGGAGGTGAGAAACTTCATACATTAGAAAAACAAAAAACTTTTATTATAGTAAATAACATGATTGTGCCATTTAACAGCAATATAATTTTTAATTTTATAAAATGAGTAGCAGTGTGGAGAAGCATTAAAAATTATTTAAATATTTTTTAAAACAAAAAAAATTGAAGTTGTATTTACCTGGTGATACACCTTGTAAAATATCAAGTGTTTCAACACCAACAAATTCATGACTTTCTGCTATTGCCGATGTTGCAGTAGTAGTACCACTCTGATTTGGTATATAACGATGATATAAATTACTTGTATTAACAACATCACCCGTTGTTATAAGAATTTCATTATTACTATTAAATCTTATACAATCATTAACACAACAATTTGTATTTAGATTACCAATATTATTAGGATCACAATAGCAGCGTTTTGAATTACAATTATTATGTTCTGTGAATTTTTGATGATGGTATCCTCCAGCAGTTGTTGTTTTGGTTGTTTTTAATGAACCATTATTGGAGGGAATTTCCATTTCATGTAAAGATATGTCGCAAATTCCATCATGTTTTTTATTGTCAACAACAATACAATTCTTAATATTATTTGTAGTGGCAGTAACATTAGATGAATTCGTAACAGCAGAAGCAGCGGCCGCAGCGGCAGCACTTGCTGACAATATTATTGTATTACCATTGCCTAAATATGTTTCTACAGTTGACATTGTTGTTGTTGTTGTTGTTTGTGTTGTCTCACCAGCACCTACTAACATACCACTATTATTAATATTATTACCATCTATTGTTATTAATGATGAGGTTTGTGTTGACGTCGGTGGTTGTTGTAATGCACTACCACTATTTGAATTCATATTTTTACAAATTCCTGTCATTGTTGTTTGATGTGAATGTTGTTGATGTTGATGTTGCTGCTGCTGTTGTTGTTGAATTCTTTCTAAAGGACATCTTGATGTTGATATTATTGTTAATGGTAAAGGACCACTTTCGTTGTCTTTTTCTTTTTCATTTGAATAAACTATATAGAATAATATAATAAGAAAGAAGGTTATGTAGAATATATGTATAGCATGAAAAAATGACAATAATATTAAAAAAAAAGTTAAATAAAACATTTTACAACTGTGGGTGTGGGTGTGTGTATATATTTTAATATAAATAAGAGTAAAAGAAAAAAAAGCAATATGGCGGGATTAACATTTGATTATAATGTTAAAATAAGAAATGTATACAATACATAACGGTAAAAGTTATAAGAAAACAAATGAAAAGTTATATAAAATTTATTATAAAAAATAAAATAACAGTAAGAAAGATATTATTACATAGCTACATGAAAACACACATAGCTGTATGTAAATTAAAAAAAACCCGGTAAGGTAGAATAAAAATAAAAGAAAACATAAAACAATGAAAATTTATTTTAAAGTATAAAACAAAACAAAATAAAAATATGAAAGAAAACAAAGGACTACAATAAAAAGACAACAAAAAAGAGTAAACAAAAGTAAATGAAAATGAAAACAATAAATTCAAATCAAATAAATAATTATATGTTCTTGTAATATATTCAAACAAATAAACAAACAAGTAAGGAAAAACAAAAGGGAAAAAAATCAATTTCAAGACAACAAAAATAAATATAAAGAAAGGACATCCTTGAAAATTTTGTATTTTTTCATTTTTGTACAATATATTTGTATATGATGAACTTACAATTTAGAGGACTATTTATGGAACCAGAACAATATTCGTAATTGTCCTCTAAACTTGTTTTTGTACTTGTTTTCTTTAAATGAGTTCCTTGGGGATCTTTACCGCTACTGTTATTACTGCTATTACCACCCATCATAGATGTTCTCAAATTGAATTCAGCTTTTATAACAAAGCAAAATAATATCGCAAATCCCTGGTATTATACAACAAAAAAAAATTAACGAAATATTATTTTTTTATTTAAAATTTAGAATAAAAAAAATGAGTACTTACAATAAAAATTACATAGAATTTGGTTTTTTTAAATATATTTGCTAGTATTTTTTAAGTCCTATATTATTTTTTACTTAGTTAAGGTGATCAGATATTTAGAATTTAAGAAAAGTACCATCTACATAAATTTCAACTTCAATAATTAATCTTGTAACACAATTTAAGTAAGGCGCTTATTATATAGATAAAACATATGATAGCTATATGTAATTAGCAGTCTAAAGGCCAAGACATTCAGGTAGATATTGTAATTTTTCATTCGTAGACCAAAATTTCTTGTAACAATTAACCTCTTTCACAATAAGCGTTTTTGAAGAATGTAATTGTAGCATAAATTATCAGCTCCAGCTTTATGTATTTTTCAAAAAAAATCGGAAAATTGTTTGCCGAAAGAGAGATGGGGAAAGCAAAATTTTTCTTTTGTGTTACCATTTACTTTGCATACTGCTAAGCATTAAATGTAATAGTTTTAGAAATAAGCAAAAAATATTTGTAATTTGCGAAACTGGTTTTTAAAAACTGTTCAAATGAGTGTTATGCTGGTAAGCTTAAGATTAATACATATCTTCAATTAATAATTTTTCATAAATATTATAAAATTGGATTAATTGCATAGTTTCTAATTTGCTTTGAATTTTCCTGATCTTGTATTTTATTAGGACATGTAAGCTTTACAAAAAAAATCATATTTCTTAAGAAACGAAAAATTTGCTTAATAAAAATTGTAATTATTTTTAATACTCTTGTATGTACAAGATATTTATCAATTTAGGTTAAGCGCTTCATGGACTACTGTAATGGTGATTGGCAAATTACGATCAAAGATAAGAGTATTTGTTTATCTCCAGGGATCACGTATAATCAATTCCAACTGTTCTAAATAAATTTATTGAATGCGCGATTATAGCGATTATATATGTAACTTACATGGCAAATAAGTTGCTTGCATGCAAAGGTTTATAAACTCAAGTTTGTTTTTTTCACGCCCAATTTTTTTGATAGATAGAAGCATTTAACATTAGCAAATTGTATTTTAAGTGACCATTGATAGTTGAATTAATAAATAAATTTATACAATTACCATCTTTTAATTATTTCTATTCCTTTAACTTTTGTTTTTGAATTTAGGAGTTTTATTTTCCTTTCCTACAACTGATGTAAATACACGTTTATACGATTCGTATATGTATCAAAAATGAAAATCTTAATGGATTAATTTCCAAGTTCCAATAAGTACCAAAGAACCTCAAACAAATAATTATTTTTGTTACCCTTATACACATACATAGATGCATTCTATATGTCCCCTTTTTATAACCAAATCCTTATTTCAATTTCAAGCTACTTAACCGAATAAGAGAAAAATTAGAAATTAACCAGATTGTGCTGTCTTTATTCACAAATTTTGATTATAATGGTAAAAGAAAATTCAAAAAGATTTTCTATTTAGAATTTTATTTTCTTGTGTTTTGTTGGTTACTTTTCTATTTCTGATTTTGACAATATAAGCAGACAGTGAAAATATGATAAAAAAATTTTCGCCACTGAATTTCCAAAACATCAAATAAAATGAAAAAGAAGGAGAGAGAGAGCAAAAAAAAAACAGAAGAAAGTAAAATCAAAATTAAAGCTTTACGAACTATAATAAGATTTACTGTTATTCACAGTAGATTTATGGAATTCTCAATTTCCACTTTATACAATGAAAATTGAGAATTGTGGAAAAATAGAAAATTTAATGTTATTTAATAGGATTCTTTACATATGTATGTATATAGGTACTATATTTACTGATTTCGTTTATATATACATATGTGTCTCATTGCGATTAATATATTTTAAGTGGTTATGTGGGGAATGAATTATTTTTGATGGTTATTAAAACATGTATCTAATTCTAATACAAATTAATGGGTTAGGATTTAAAAGATTGCAGATCAAAGCGGAAATTTTTTTGTTCTTGCATTTTAATGTAACCGAATAACAAATGTGTAGGATTTTTTGCTGCAAAAATTGTAGAGGAGTGAAAATTAAAGTTGTTTAATAATCAATTACATTGTGTATTTGTAAAATAATATTGTATGTACGTATATTATTTGAAGTCAACCCATTAAAATTGAGAAATTAAAGACCTTTTTCATATTAATAATATTCTTGCAATGTAAATATTTTCATTTCATAAAACGTCTTTCATATTATGACGATCTAAGAGTACAATTATTGGAATATATGAAAAAGTGGTTAAAATGTATAAATCTTACGTTAGTTTGATTGTGGGTTTCTTATTGTAAACATATACGAGTACAGAATATTAAACCAAAAATTCTTTACAAAAATCCCTAATTGGAATATCAGTTAACCTATATTTGATTATCTGTAAAATTTATTTTATATAAGTTGATAGGAAAATGTTGGACATGTATGAATTTGAAGATACAGGAGGCAATCAATTTAGAAAATATTTTGTACTTAAGTGTGTAATTGATTTGACTTAGACGATCTGACACTGTTTTTATGCTATGCATAATGTAAGAGAGTTAAAAGTATGTTTAATTTTTAAAAGAGTTAAAGCGCTATTGATAAGAATATTAAATTGAATTTTTAATTAAAATATGAATTAAAAATTACGTTATATGGTAAATTTATGGTTTTCTTTATGTATGTAAGCGTATTTTTATTCTCTATATCTAATATTTGTATTGATAATCGCACTTCTATGTATTTTTCTTGACAAATATTTGCATCTCATAGGTATATTTTCAAGATGATAGATCTTTTTGCTCTTTAGGAAATAAAATATTTGTTTAAGAGAAAATGGAAATTTGTTTAAATAGGAAGCAAGAGTGCGGTCATATTCTATTACTGTATTAGATGCACTAACAAGCGTGAAAGAAAAATTTTTTCGTTTGAAAATGAAATCGTTTTTTATAAAATATTATATAGAGCTGTACTCAGACGCTGCTCCTTGTATTTAAAAAAAATTGATTAATTAAAAATTGAACAGCTCTAATTATCTTTTGAATTCAAGATGGTTTTAAGTTAAATGTGAACTTGCGGAAAATAAATTTTATTTTCAAGGAAATTTTTGGCGACTTGAATTATGCATATTTTTCCAGTTTCCAATAAAGTTTTGCTGTAGTACTTTTTTCAAAATGGTGAATTTTGTGAAATTTGTTTACTTTAAACTGCTCCTTGAAATAGTTAATCTCATTTTGTGTTACTTGATTAAATATTTTTGTTGAATAAATTTAACACAGAAGTTTTCCTTGTACTATATTTAAAATTTAGTTGTAAAGCACAACAATTAGAACAGTCAACTCATAAGTGTGACAGAAAAAAAATTGAAATATTTATAGCGCTAATAACTAAGTGAATGTATGTGTTACAACGGTAATTGTATTTTTCCATAACGGTAACAGGAAATATCTTTGTATACGCTATAATTCAAATTTTTTTTAAAGCGTTTCAATTGTGATTTATTATTTGTTTAGCTTTATTTATTTTGAAAATAAAATCAAAACATAATGTATAAAACTGCAATGTATCAATATTTATACATATATAGAAAAAAACCATTCTTAATCAAATAAAAAGTATATAGAGAAGAGAAAATAAAGGTTCAGTAGAAAGCTAACTAAGTATGTATTCGTACAAAGAGTGTAAGTAAATAAAAATGAATTAAATAGAATACAAAAATAAAGTTGAATCAAACCAATGGTTTGTAATATAGCACTTTTTTCTTTAAGGAGTAAAAGTACTGCTTTTAAAAATATCTATGTACTACATTATTAAAGTTATTTTTCATTCATATATGAATTTATTTCAGAAATTGCATATATTCAGGATAAGGAATGTATTCCATCCTTGAAATAAAACAGAAAAAAATTGAAAGAGGTTTTAACATAATACTTGAATTTAGGGGTTAATTGCGTGAAAAAAAAATATATTTTTTAAAGGCATTGCATTTATCGCTAACCTTCTGCTTTTATATATTTTTGGAAAAGCTTGCATTTTCGGAAATACAAGGTGCCGAAAATTTAAATTTTACAAATTTCGAGAGGCAATAACTTGATAGGGGTTGTAGGATGCAAAAAATTATCTACTAAAATTTTAGACCCTTACACCTGCTGTCTAGAAGAAAAACGACCTCAAAAATGTGAAAAAAAAACGGATTTTAGATAACGGTAAATTTCAACGGCCATTTTGTTTTTTTAAAGTTCAAATATACTATGCTGTGGTAGAGGAAGCCAGCCAAATTTTAAAAATGCTTACATTGAATGTTTGCTACAATAAATAATTGAAAAATAGCATTTTTATGCTTTTTGTGGACTATGACTTTTAAAGAGGGGAGAAAGGTTAAAAAGTTTTTTACAAATATAAGTTTCTGGTAAAAATCTATGTATATGCGAATGAAATTTCAACTTTTTATTTCAAGGGTACGAAAGACGGAGCGGCGAACAGAGTGAAACTAATAAGCACTTTTTTTTTAATTTTTTTAAAGAAGTGCTAAAAAGGAGAGATAAATGTGTACCCAAATAGTAACTATATAGCTTTGAGTTATTCAACTTTATAATAATTTGCTTCATACTATGAACTGTTAACTTTCAATTTTCACAAGTACTTGGATAATGTACTTAATTTCTATATGATAAATGTATGTACAAGTCTATGTGAACATAATATACGTGTTATGTTGATGGCAAAGCTCCGGTCTCTTTTAAAGTAGTATACATATATATATAATTATATAATAAATAGTAAATACAACTTAAATTAAAGATTATTGAGAGTTATATACACGGACGTTACTTATAAAAAAATTACATACCATAACCCAATATAGCATTAGATGACGAATTTTTGCAGGATGTTAGCACAGTACAAGAAAGGGGAATGGTATCTTTCAACTTTTTTTTCGTA